GGTGCTATTTAAGAGACTGAGCTGAATACAGCTCCTCAGACTGAGGAAGTCTCTCGGATGAGAGATGAAACGTTTCTACATTTTTTTGTTGATTTGCTTTGTTTTGTTTTTTTGAATGTCCAGAGGACCAGATTTAACTTTTTTAGATTTTTCTTCCTGGATTATTGAGCATGCATCAGGATATGCAGTAATAATGTTAAAATATATTAGTGTAGTGACCCTGTTGAACATTTCTGTAATATTTCAGTATTGCTGGCTGCGGGTGTCAGAACAATGGATTTCACTGGTCGTCACAGGTCACAGGAGTTTCAAAGAGATGGCCGCAAAACCCTCTCTGGACTGTTCCTGGTCTGTATTTGTTTTGGATCCTCTTGTTGGAAAAATCTTAAACTGAATGTGTTTATACTGAACATTATGTTTATACTCTTTATACTGTGGTAACAAGTGCTCATCAGGTGCTTGGATGTTGTGAGAAAACCTTGTATTTGCACATGCAAAACAATAACAAAACATGCATTTGTGGCTTTCTAACAATTCCCATTACATTCTTGTTCATTGTGTTTTGTCTCTTTTCAGGAAGGACCATGTTTGTGCAGACACAGGATACACCAAATCCAAACAGTTTAAAGTTTTTGCCTGGTCGGACAGTTCTCCAGGAAGGAACTATGAATTTTGCCAGCGCTCGTGATGCTTACTGCTCGCCCTTGGCCAGGTATAAGGTTCTAAAATGCAAGTTTATTAATATTAAAACAATGTGTCGTTATTTAAAAAAAGTTATTTTAATGTGGCACAAAATAAAAGACACAACTATACTATAAGAACATCTGTTGGTGTTTTTCTGACCTATGTCTGGTGAGACAACTTTTTTGAGTCATATTAGGATAGTGGATACCAAAACATTTATTCTAAAAACAATTTATTGGGGGTGAGGGGCTTGTTTTGACTATTGTGTAGACTTCAACTGGCCTTGATTCTGTAATCAATGATAGTAAAGTTAAGTCTACTGTTTGTTTGTTTTTTGCCTATTTTAATTTTGAGTTTTACCAGACGTAGAAGTTCAAATGCCTAATATTTGTATATATATTTAATAAAATGTCAAATATGTGGAATAGTTGTCTATTTTAAGCACAATCCCTATCAATAGGCTTATTCTATATTTCTATGATAGTTTCATTAAAAATTGTCACTGTGTAAAACCAGGGGTTTTTTTATATTTAAACCCCTTTGTTGTCTCCAGACAGCTTTTCAGGATCGATGGAGTTAAAAGTGTCTTCCTGGGTCCTGATTTCATCACTATCACAAGGGTAACTTTAAGTTCAGCATCTTTAAATCTCAGCAGAGTGACATCATCACAGTTATTCATTTGTTTTCTGTTCCTCCCTACTTAGACTAATGAAAATATGGAATGGAGGGTAATTAAACCTGATGTTTATGCCACAATCATGGACTTCTTTACTTCTGGACTCCCAGTTGTCAGTGAGGACAGCAAGCCCAGTGCAGATACCGGTACAAAGGAACAACTGAAAAACAAATTAAAATAATTTGTAAGCTATTTCCAATACCAAATGTGCTTAAATCTCAACTTGTCTTCTCAGCACCATCAGAGGATGATGATGAAGTAGTTGCAATGATTAAAGAGCTGCTGGATACCAGAATAAGGTGACAACTTGAAGACATGCACGTTGACACAGTGATGGGTGGTTTTCTGACTTTAACTCACACCTGACGATGTTCCTGCTCACCAGGCCAACGGTGCAGGAGGATGGAGGAGACATTGTGTATCGAGGATTTGATGATGGCGTGGTTAAACTGAAGCTGCAGGGCTCCTGCACCAGTTGCCCCAGCTCAGTTGTAACTTTGAAGAATGGAATCCAAAACATGTTGCAGTTTTACATACCCGAGGTGGAATCGGTAGAAGAGGTTTGTTGGACTGTTTTGTTCAAGTTTATTAAATATATGTGCACTGTGTCCAAAAGTTTTTTACAAGTTGTAATATTTATTTGCTCTTATTGATTAGATTTATTTAAAACGGAGTGAACGGACGTTAATAAATACAATAAAATAAACAAAAAGTCTGAGGGAAAAAATGCAACACAAAAGTGCTAATTTGATTTTTTTACAGGTAAAGGATGAGGAAGAGGAGGCAGCTGAGGTTTGAGCTGAAACAAGAACTTGACTGAGACATTCATCTCTCCAAAGCAGTCAGGCTTCAGTCAAACCCTTAAAATCAATAAAACTACCTGTTGTAACAGACTGTTTTACACGAGAACACGTCATCTGAGTGTTCTTGTGCATTTTGGTAGTTCTGCTATAGTCATAATGACATTTTTCAAACTCATTGCACATCTGAAATGAATTTATTCTTTTACAGTGTTACATGATTTCTAAATCCACTAGAGGACAAAACTGCCTTTAGGCAACGAATACGTTATAAAAACTGTATCTATATAAGTATATACAGTACTGAATACTTGTGTGTTTACGGTGCATAAAGATCGTTTAAGAAAATATTTTTGCCGTGTTCACTTTTGTCCCATCAGTAAATGTGTAGGGACAAAATATTCATATAACTTGTCAGAACATTTATTCCATCATTGCAAACACAAAAATGCCACTGGATGATACTGCAGTGCCAACTATTGTTATTAAAGTAGTCACTATGTTTCCATACTGAAATATTGCTTTTATCTGCTCTTGTCTGTTAATAGTCACATTCAGAGCGTGGAGGGATACTAATCAGATTTAAATACATTATTCTGACAAGATTGTGTTTATTTTGTCTTCATGAATTTATTTTTCATTTTCATTCAACCTTTATTTAGACAGGTAAATCCCATTGAGCCTCGAGGACTCATTTACAAGAGAGACCTGATTTCAACAAAGGATGATGACAACAATGGACAAATATAAAAAGGCATACAGATTATTATTCTTTTTTTTACAAATAGGATGGTAAAAAAAGTAGTAATTTTTTAGTGTTTAGCTGCATTTTGCATCTAAATGTTTCTGATTTATTAGCATTTATCAGTACTGAACGGAGTGTACGATAAAAATAAATAGAGACATTTTAATTTAATGCAGTTTAAATGCTAAGGTGTGAATGACTTAAAGAAGATGGTTAAATGGTAGCTAAAAAAGTATGGTAAGACAAATAGCAGGTGCTAAAGCAGATTCAAAGAACAATATTTGAAAGAATCAATGCATTTATATGGGCAAAATATCTTTATTTAATGTTAAATATTTAAAAAATATAAGATAATCTAAGCACCCACCTCCTAAATGAGCTGAGCGTTTAATAAATAGCTTAAAAAAGCACAAATGAATAATTTTCATTCATTCAACCTTTATACAGGTTAGTCCCATTGAACCACGAGTACTCATTTACAAGAGTGACCTGAATTTTAACAAAGAGTGATGAAAATGGTGGACAACAACGGCAATAATAGACAATCATAAAGGATGCAGATAAGTTTTTTTTCAATATAATTATGGATTGCAATTTTACAAAGAGAAAAACAATGTACAGTACATGCAGAATCAGCATTAACCCATACAACAATAAATAAAAATGATTTTAAATATTTTGATTTTATACTGTATAATCATCTCTGGCCAAACTCCCGGATGCTGATGTAGGTTTTGGAATTATTCTGAGTACATTACATCATCATCCTTTAAAACGTCCTTAGCGTTTGTTTAAAACAAATTTCAATTAAAAATGATCAGAATAATTTGGGACCTTTTAGGGCTTAATGATTAACTCGTTTGTTGTTCTCTCAAATGTAATTTATTTGTTACCTGTCAGTAAACATGGGCCTTGTTGCGCTATGGTGCGCATCACCAGGATATACGATTGGCTCCGCCCACCGTTCACATCCTGTTGCCACGTCAGAACAGCCTACGTTAGTGGGCGCATCCTGACTGACAGGCCGATGGACTAATCAGAGGCGCCGTAGAAGAAGGCGGTTGGCTAGTTGAACTCAGAAGGGGCGTGGCTTATTGACAGGCATCCCTGGCTACCACCAAACTCAGAGTAGCTGTATCTGGCAACCGAGCTGCAGACATGTGTGGTGAGTGTTTTTTTTTTCTACGCGTTTTTATTCAGTCAGAAATGTGTTCCGTTCTTTATTAGTCATGGTGGAAAAGCAAACAAATATAACAGCTCTTGTTTATTACAGCGCTTCAGTGAAGGCTATGTTAGCTAGGGTGGCTAACTCCGTAGTTAGCGAACATGAGCTGATGTTTCTGATAGTCAGCTAAATATAAAACACTGTTTCCATCACTGTTCTTTGCTCTAGTTGCGCATTTTGTGTTGTTACTGTCAAATATGCTGGAAGTCGGGTTTAAATGATGTCTGTCCTTCCTGTGAGGCTGGCAGACGCCATCATCATCATCTATATTTACCTACTTTTATTTGTCTCTGAGTGATTCTCGTTAGTCGTGTTCTTTTTTTTTTTTTTTTTTTTTTTTAACATGCGCATTAAAAGTAAACGTACCCGGAAGACTATAATGCCGTATGAGCAAAATAAACTGCCTTTGGGTTAATTCAAGTTTATCTTGTGATTGGTGTTTTTCAGACAGGTGACGTTTCTGTGTCGCATCCCTGTCGTCACAATCTGAGTATAAACCAGTCAGACTAGATAAACTAGTTTGTTCTTTTCAATAATATCTGTAGCCATTTTCTTTTTCCCCCCTGTTTCTTCATCAGAGGTTGTCCTTGTGATTTATTTGCCCTCCCTCTCCAGTATTTTCCCTGTGCCCCTCACTTCCTCCCACCTCCTCTTGCTGTCCTGAAAGAAAGTCCTGTTTTAAGGCAGTCTGCTGGTGTCACATTTGCATGTATCTGGCAGTGGACAGATTAATATTAAATTGCATTTCATGGTCCCCTGTGGACATTTGTGGTGTCCCAGCTTTCAGTGTTTGCTCTGTTGAAATGGGTAATGTGTGTTTGTGTAAGGTACTGATTATTGATAGATGAACTGCTCCAACTCCAAGCTTTGATTTATTTGGGCTTTTCCACTGTAGCCTAATTGGCTCTGAGCTGGTATAGTGATTACACACGTTCATGTCTCTGTGTGGTGATTTAATGTGTTGCTGTAAGAATATTAAAAATGAAATGTAGCTACAACTCTGAAATGTATCAAATGATTTTGTTTTCTTTACTTGCACAATAACTGTCACAGATACGCCCAGCGCTTTCTGTTTTGAAGCTCTTTGCTATTTAAAACAACGTCTGCAGTTACAGCAGTCCTCCTAGCTAGACTGGTTTCTGTAGAAATACTTGTCAGTCTTTGACTTTGAACCTTAAATAGTTCAGGCAGGCATCACCACAAATGTGTTTTCTCAATTCAGCAAAAATATTCCAACAATTTTCTGTTTGGTTGTTGCATACACTTTAACGTCTTTAGATTCACGTTTAACCTTTTTGACTCTTTGTCAAATCTTGGCTATATTCAATGTTTGATAGTTGTTTTTTGTTAAAATTTAATTTGTGCTGTATTTAACTAGAAGGTTATCTGATATAATTAGTAACAGTAAAATGCATATAATCCTCTTTAGTTTCTGCATACATTTTTATACCACGTTTTTTGTTTTAGCTGTAAATTCTCATTATGGCGATATTGATTTCTGCCCTGCAGCCAAACTTTAGTTGAACTTCTTTCTTAAAGCCATATTCATGAAATGTGTGAAGTCATTTTAAAAATAAAACAACAGTGCTGAATAATAGCTAATACATACTTCTCTCTTCAGGAATTTTTGCCTATCTCAACTACCATGTGCCAAGGACTCGACGCGACATCCTTGAGATTCTCCTCAAAGGTCTTCGACGTCTGGAATACAGAGGATACGACTCAGCTGGTGAGAAAAACCAGACTGGGTTTGTTTGAGCTTTTATTTTAATCAGTTTCCTTGTAAGGCAGTTAGTTATTTGGATACTTCCTCTCAATAATCAGTGATATGACTTTACAATATTATTGTAAGGTAAAAAAGTTTGGGAGAAGGTAGTTTTCAGTTCATTTGTGAAAATGTTAAAAACTTAACAAATGCCCTTAATGTATCTTCATCGAATTATGTTGTCTGGTGAAGAGGTGTTCTTAATGAATGGATTAGGAGCTGCAGCTTGATTGTGTGTATAAGAGCACCGTATTTTTCCACCGTACACATCACACCACGGTATAAGTCGTATCAGTCCAAACATTTCTAATAAAGTGGAAAAAAAACATGAATAAGTCGCTTCGCCATGTAAGTCGCATCTATTATGCGTCACCACTGATGCGTTGCGTTTGTTATGCGTCACCGCTGATGCGTTGCGTTTGTTATGCGTCACCGCTGACCACCCGGAAATGTGGACCGGTGTTGTGCCAAAAATTGCTTGGCTGCCAAATGACGGCCACGGGAACATGCACGGGAAGCCTTTAACAAGAATTTAACAAGATTAACACCTAAAAACAATTATTTGTTTGTTCGACATTATAGCAAAGGTGTGTCTTAGTTTAACTCTTCTTTAATAAATGCACTTTAATGGTCAAATTAGCTACAGTTCACCAGGGCGGTGCGGCGAAATGCAGCTGATTTGACATTTGCTGCAGGAGTTCTGGAGCAAGACGAAGGTGGCTCAGTATGGCAAGCCAAGTGTCTCTTTAATAGCCACTTTTACCTTTTAGACACGTGTCTTGCCATATCACTCGATGGCCCTCTAGTGGCTGCATATGGTAATGTTTAATATTTTTCATGCCAGAATGAATGAAATTGTCATATCTCAGCCAAAAATCGGGTTCTAAATATGGGGGGGGGGGGGGCAAAAACGTATTGTCGCGTTGGGGTATGAGTCGCAGTAATTGCAAATTTATGCAAAAAGGTGTGACTTATACAGTGAAAAATACGGTAGTAGTAGTAGCCCAACATGTTTTCAGTGGTGAGAAAGATTAGGAACCTATGTAAATAGTTACACATCATGTGTAGCGTTTGTTCTCATAAAGCTTTTATCATTTTAAAATGTTTTAGGTGTGGGAATTGATGGAGGAAATGGCAAGGAGTGGGAGTCAAATGCCAAATCTATCCAGCTCATCAAGCAGCGTGGAAAAGTAAAAGCTCTCGATGAGGAGATTCACAGTAAGACGAGATTAAGTTGCTCACTTTCCAGTCAGTCGTTGGTGAAAATCTGGGCATACTGAACACGTTCTGGTTGTTTGACCTCTAGAGCAGCAAGATATTGACTTGGATGTGGAGTTTGATGTTCACCTTGGCATTGCTCACACACGTTGGGCGACCCACGGTGTGCCCAGCCCCGTCAACAGTCATCCGCACAGATCAGACAAGAACAACGGTCAGTTGCGTAGAAGAGCACAAACTAAATGGCTCCTTTTTGTCTGTATGCACTTGTCATAGAGACCTGGAGGTTTATGATGTTTCATTTTTAATTTGCAGAGTTCATTGTGATTCACAATGGAATCATTACCAACTACAAAGACCTGAGGAAATTCTTGGTGAGAAGATGTTTTTTTTAAATTGCTGTCTTTATCATTTCAGTACTGTTGCTGACAAGATTTACTTGCTCACTTTCTCTGCACAGGAGAGCAAAGGCTATGACTTTGAGTCAGAGACTGATACAGAGACGATTGCCAAGCTGGTGAAGTACATGTATGACAACCGAGAGAATGACGACATCAATTTTTCCACCCTGGTTGAGCGAGTAACTCAGCAGCTGGTAAGGACACACGAAGACACACCGGTGCCACTGCAGTAATAAAAAATAAAAAAATAAAATTACCTCAACAATTTGTTTTCCAACTATCCAGGAGGGAGCTTTTGCACTCGTCTTCAAGTGTGTTCATTATCCTGGAGAAGCTGTTGTCACAAGGTACACTAGTATCAGTCTGATGTGTTACTGACAGTTAATTAAGTAAATGTAGATGTTCTTTCGTACATTCAGAGACCCACGCACCATAGAATTGTCATTTAATTGTGGCCAGGACAGCATTTACAATGTGCTCTTTGTGTTTTGTGCAGGAGAGGAAGTCCTCTACTAATTGGAGTGCGCAGTGATCATAAGCTGTCCACCGATCATATTCCTGTTCTCTACCGCTCCTGTAGTTATACCATTCTGTTTCTAGTCTGATTCATCTACATTTAATTATACGTGTAGGACTAAAAACCTGTTGTTTGTTTTTCAGCTGGTAAAGAAAAAAAGAGCTGCAACGCAATTCCCCGGTTGGATCAAGACACCTGCCTGTTCCCCATCGAAGAGAAAGCAGTAGAGTATTACTTTGCATCCGATGCTAGGTAAAACTGATCCCTTAGTTTTGCTGCATACAGAGAAAACAAATGTTTGGCATGAATTATAGTTGCTATCTTCATATCATGACAGTGCTGTGATTGAGCACACAAACCGGGTGATCTTCCTTGAGGATGATGATGTGGCTGCTGTGATGGACGGCCGGCTGTCCATCCACAGGATAAAGCGCAGAGCAGGAGACTACCCCGCCCGCGCCATCCAGACTCTGCAGATGGAACTACAGCAAATCATGAAGGGTGAGGCGATCATTAATATGCTCATATTTGCAAATAAATCCACTATTCCTGCCTTCTAATTTTCCCTCAAACCCTGTTATGGCCTTTTGTAAATAATAATAATACTTGTGAGAAACTGGCTAATAATAGAGCTCATATATTTTAGCAATTTACCCAGAGGCTATTATTCAAGTAGTTTAAATCCTTTCTGTACCAAATGAACCCTAAAGAAAAATCATGCAAATATCCCCTAATCTTCTAAACTTCATCACCTTCATGTTCTCTTTTCTTTTTCTTAACAAGTGACCAACATTGTTTACTTTGGTCTTGGTACTGCTTTAACTAATTCAAGTTCATATTCAGATTTATTTATACGGCACATTTACAAACTGCTGTTGGTCAAGGTGCTGTACATAAAATTGTAAGGAAAAAACAACAAAGCACAAAGTATCATTTGAAAACAAACAAAAAAAATGATAAAACATAAAACAAATCTTAAACAAGACTCTAAAATCATAGGGAAAATGTCAACTTGTGCTCTTTAGGAGCTATTACTGAAAAGGCTTAATCACCTCTGACTAGTCTGGACTTTATAACCTCTAAAAGTGAATAATTAGATTTGAGAAGTCTGGAGGGCACAAAGCTGCAAGAGGTCAGACAGAAACACAGGTGCCTTCACGTTTATCGCCTCATAAAACATTAAAGTTTTAAATCAATTTCCAAACAAACGGGAGGCCAACAAATGGAAGCAAGCACCGGGGAAATATGTTCACACTTTTTTTTTTGTCAGCTGCATTCATGAGAGGCAGACCTGACTAACACCAACAGAGGAAAGTACAATAAAACATTTGGGATCTAATAAAAGCAAGAATCGCCTTTTCATAGTCTTTAAAAGATCAAAATGATTTAACTTTAGATAAAAGCTTCCATGTAGAAAACAATCTCTTTACAACTGAGCTCATTTGTTTCTAAAAAGTTAAAATTAAAATCTATTTTTTTTTCTTCTTTCGGCTGCTCCCTTTCAACCAGATTCCACAAAGGATTTGAACTATCCATTTAAATAAGAGAAAAGAGCATAAAAAGGAGAAATAACTTTAACTAACTTTAGCTTTTAACAAAATTAGGCTATGCAATGAGCTGCAATACAGACTCGGATCAATTAAAACTGATTAATCACAGTATTGCAGTATGTTTTCCAGTATTCAGGTCTCTCTTGTAAATGAGTCCTCGAGGCTCAGTGGGATTAACCAGTCTAAATAAAGGTTGAATAATTGCTTTATCAGCTGAAAGGCTTTTAATTTGCTGCTTTTCCTCAGCGGTCCAGCAGAGGGCAGAGAGAAACTGATGCTGGCCTCACTCTGCATTCCTTTGTGGTCCTGTCATCGCGCAGCCTCTCAGTCGGTGTCTGCAGCTTTTCTGCTGAATAATCTAATTTGCATGACCCAAATTGCTGTTGGAGGCAGGCTGGAAAAAGTTAGCATTTTTCACTGTCACAGCTTGTTTTTGATGGAACAAAAGTATCTCGTTTTGTGTTTTCTTCATTTAAAGAATACTTTATCTTGTGATTGCAACTGTATTTATAAAGCAACAAAAGCCCTTACCTCCCTGCAGTTTCCAGGAACAGACTATCAGTTAAACTCAATAAAGTGTTTTTTTGCTGCTCAGCCATGAGATTATTGAGTTTTAAGAGCCCAGCGAGTGTCTAGAAGACCTTTCTCAAGAGCGCTCACATGAGATCACACTTTATAAAACGTCTCTCTGTAGTGGCCTTTATTGTTTGTTTCCCCGCTGTTGGAAATGTTTCCCTGATATTTGATCCTCACTTCACAGGTAACTACAGCTCCTTCATGCAGAAAGAGATCTTTGAGCAGCCAGAGTCTGTGGTGAACACCATGAGAGGACGAGTCAACTTTGACAACAACACAGGTCAGAAAGCTGCTCCAACTAGTTTTCTGTACAACGATCCATGTTTTTACTTTCCCTTTACTCTGTTATCAAACTATAGATTGTTGCCCAGTTAAATTAGTTCATTTGTTGAAACCAAATGTAATCTGGCCCATCTTTATTTGAAACTGAGTTGTATTTTTATTAAACTGAAAGGCTAGTTGATGGTTGAGCTGTTTTAATTTGCTCTTCAGTGACACTGGGTGGACTGAAGGACCACATCAAGGAAATCCAGAGATGTCGACGACTCATCCTTATCGCTTGTGGCACCAGTCATCATGCTGGAGTAGCAGTGAGTCGCACTTGTTTTGCTTTGTTGTAAATTCTCAAGTTCTTCATCGACATTTCATCTCATCAGATTGACACGTGTTTTGTTGTAATAAATATGAGGTTTATATTCTGACATACGTTTTGCCCTGAGTTTGACAGAATGAGACTGATCTGTCTTTTTCTTGTTTATTAGACCCGTCAGGTTCTGGAGGAGCTTACGGAGCTGCCCGTTATGGTGGAGCTGGCCAGCGACTTCCTGGACAGAAACACCCCAGTCTTCAGAGATGACGTCTGCTTTTTTATCAGCCAGTCAGGTGTGGAGGGCGTCTGGACTTGATCTAGTCTGCATTCCTCAGCTGTACTCTGCTTTTTAGATTCACCGCCTCTGGTTTTTGTGCTGTTTTCTTGTGAATATATACCAACTAAATCAGAATCATGTGTAGAAGTTTTCTAATTGGGTCTTTCTGCCAACACTGCAGGGGAGACGGCTGACAGCCTCATGGCCCTGCGCTACTGTAAGGAGAGGGGGGCTCTGACCGTGGGCGTTACCAACACTGTGGGCAGCTCCATCTCCAGGGAGACCGACTGTGGAGTCCACATCAATGCTGGGCCAGAGATTGGAGTAGCCAGCACCAAGGTAAACAACTTTACAACCACATCTTCTCTGAGATTAACATACCTCCGCCTTTGTGTATTTTGGAAACATTTTAACTAAATAAACTTTTCTTGCGTGCAGTAAGAAGAACAAACAGTGACTCTGACGATATGTGTGCCCATAATCGTGTTAGTTAGTTGTTTTACAAAATATACTATGCATACTGATAAATACACAATACTCATTCTGCTGTAGACATTACAGGAGGTTTGATAGTGTAATAAAGTGGTAATTAATTGCAGTTATAGTGAGAAATATTTTTCAGTAATGTGATAAGACACAGCAGTCAGTGACTGTTCAACTCAAATCACAAAAGTTTTGTGAAGCAGTCAAATCTCTCCCCCCGATGCTCAGTCTGAGGTAACTGCACCTCAGTTTGTAGCATCATGTCAGTGAGGTCATCTGTCGTCACTCAAAGCCCAGATAAAAACATAATTGCATGTTTGATTCTGCCTTTTGGGACTGACATTGTCCTGCACTTCAACTCTGCGTGAGTAGGAAAAAGAAAACTGATATCATCGTCTTGACTCATGTAAATGTTGGAAGCTTGATTTTAAAGCCTCTCCCTCTTTTCAACCTCACAACCAGAAAGGATTTTCCAGCTAAGACTCAGTGCAGAGAGGAAAAGTAGAGCAGGTCCTTCCCTGGTCCAGACTTTGGGCTTGGCTCAGCGACTCTAGTGCTGCTCCAAAGCCCCAGCTCTCGCCTCAGAGACGCCATTGTTTATGTGTTGGCTGGCTGGGGCCTCACAGCCACCTTCATCAAACACTGCTCATCAGATCACTGGAGAACATGTCTCACACCCAACTGCTGAATGACTCCAAATCATCTGCTGGTTTCCATTTTCATCCATTTGTATGGAGGCGACCTTTTTGGTTCCTAGTCAAGAGCCATGGAATAAAGACAAAATACTTTGATGCTGTCATGAGACAAATGATTTTTTTGTCTGATCACATGACTGTACATGGAAGACATCTTATTTATGAATTGCATAACAGCATCAGCTAAAGTCTTTGTTTCATGCTCTTGTCTGCAGAGTAATGTTTTATATCTTCTGCTTTAAAAAGGTTGGTGAACTGAAAGTGAAAGACGAGCATAATTTACATTGTAAGCTGAGTATGTTTTTATATGCGAGTCTACAGCAGGAGTTGTCAGAGTTCTGAGGAGATGTGGTTTGTGTGGTGTCAGAGGGAAAACAAGTAAAGGTTTTACTGCCATTTTCTTGGGCCTACACAATGGCATTTGTTAGTCCAGTGGGTCTTGTGAATCGACTTGACTTCACAAAAATGCTAATTAAATCTTCCAAATGGGCATGGAAGCGCTCCAAACATGCTCAGAGACGAAGGAACAAAGACAAAGTGGGTGGTGATGACGACAGACTCAGATGTGTGTGAGGGTATGAGCGGTGACATTTCCAGAATGATCAGAGTGCCCCTAAACGTAGCATTACATGCGCTGCACGTTTTTCAAAGACACATAGTTTGGCTCCTCGGAGCTGTAATGTTGAAGCAGTTTGGTGGGCACAAAGCCCTGTTTCTCATCTGAGGCACATTATTAGCAGCAGACCGTCTACACTGGGAGAATAAAGCAAAGGAAGAAGAAGCACAAGACTCCACAAACTGTTCAAAAACATCAAGTCATGGTCTGGATGCTTTTTCAAAACCCTTAGATGATCTCATGGAGAAAAATCAGCCACACATTCATTTTTGTCTGGTTTTTTTTTTTGGTTGCTATCGGTAACCACAATTGTTCCTGTTAAAGCCCAAAAATCTTCTTAATTTTATTTAATTTTATTTATTGTCAAAATTGTTTCAAATGCTCCTAAAACTTCAGTCATTTTAATATCCTCTATTGTGTCGTAGGGGAAAAATCAACCATAGTGAAATCCCATTATAAATGCATTTTTTATCCCATAATTATGTCATAACACAATGCTTTCCTTTTAGTGACATATTTCTTTATACCTGTATCACTATACTGTTGATTTTTATATTGGCTCACACTGTGATGCTTTACTTTATAAGTCTGAGTGTTTGTAAAACTCTCTGAGATGGTCTTTCACATACCCCAGAAGAGTTTTGTCTTTCCCTGCAGAGTTCAGCCTCATCCGACAAAATTATTTTAGTTTGGATGTAAAGAGCAAAAACACACTTGTATGTTGCACTATTATAAATTTCTTTTAAACAAACTCTTCCACCTGCATGCAGGCTGTATAAGTGAACACTCCACAGCTCATCATGGCTGACTCCTGTTAGATTTATTTTTCATCTTTATTTATACAGGTTAGCCTCACTGAGTCATGAGGACAAGAGAGGCCTGTTTTAAACAAAAACCACAGATGAGGTACACACAATAATAAACCGTCATATAAAATCATATCAAATGAAAAGACTGACTGAAAGCAGGACGTCGGTAGTGGATGCATCGTGCTGCAGCAGCTGGTAATGGATCCGGGTCAGTAATGGCAAACAAAACTAACAGAAACTGATGTTTCGTATGAGTACAGTTAAAGATAAAAATAAAAACATAACGTGGTAAATTATTGTAAATAACCTCCACGTTGGATCACCGGGTCACACATGTAAGTTTGATTGAAAACAAGATTTTGTTTTTGTCTATCAGATCTGGAAGGTCCAGTGGACTGGATGGTCTTCTCAAAACTCTGGACTAGAATTTAAAAAAATCTACAATTATCAAAAATCCTTTAGGGCATACTAATGGAGGAAAATACCTTTTGACAAAAAGTGCCATAAAAACATTTTGTTAAAAAAAAAAAAAATTGGAAATTTGGTAAGAGTAACGACACTTATAAACTTGCATTTTTTAAAAGGCATTTAAATTATTTTTTATGTTAATGTAGCTCTAAAAGATTGACTTGTTTATTGTAGAAAAATGTATTTTAAAATATATATTTTTAAGCAGTTAAGGTGTGCATTTTTGTTTCTTCCTCCTAAGGAACTACCTCATGTCAACGTTAAAAAAAAGAAAAATAAAAAAAAACCTTCTGGGGGTTAATTTCATTGTATTGCCTCCAATAAAGAAAATGTGTTCATTAACCAGTAAGTAAGTAAACTTTGTTTATATAGCACCTTTTACAGGTCAAAACCCGCCAAGTGCTTTATAGAATATAAAACATAAAAACACAAAATATAAAACAGAAGGAGAGGTAAAACAATGTGCGTATGACATATGACAATATAAAACTAATTTAAAGCCAATCTGAACAAATATGTCCAGCTGCTTTTTAAAAGTATTAAAAGAATCAAGGTAGTACAAAGTCAGACGTAATGCATTCCACTGTCTGGGGGCCACAGCCCTAAATGCTTTATCCCCTCTGGTCTTAAAATTAAGTCTGTGGGACCATTAACAACCTTTGACTGGAAGATCTGAGGTGACCAATCATCATTTTTATTATCTTGTAGTTATCATTTGTTTGAAAGTTTTTCATCAGCACACATTACAGCTGCTCTTCTCTTTATTATTGAATAATAAATAAAAAAGGTAAACTTCCCATCTTGTATTTATTAACGCTCTTCTCACCCTGGCTCTGCAGGCGTACACCAGCCAGTTTGTGGCCCTGATCATGTTTGCTCTCCTGATGTGCGACGACAGAATTTCCATGCAGCCCCGACGCCGGGAAATAATCCAGGGCCTGAGAGTGCTTCCAGGTAAATCTAGCCTCGAAAAAGTCAATGTCAGCCAGGGAAACTCTGAGCTCATCTGAGGATAATGTTCAGAAAGATCAAAAATATTTTAAGTTTTCCTTTTTTTTTTTATTGTAAACAAATCACTTGGAAATGAAAGCTGTATGAGAGAAGCATCAGAGGAGCAGAGAGGGAGGATTAGCTGCAGACCTTTGGCTGTTTAATGCCACAATGGCAAACTAATGAGCAATGTCTCGCACATATTCTCTGTCTCCACCCAACATTATTAAATTCATGAATCCCGTAAAGACAGGAAGTACAAAAAGAACTCAAAGTTTATTAAAAAAAATTGTAGCACGTTTTCCTTCTCCCAGTCTGCAGTCTCAAATGAATAAGACACACAAAAAAAAACATTTTCTGCCTTCTGTTAGATCTGATTAAGGAAGTCCTCAGTTTGGACGACGAAATCCAGAAATTGGCGACGGAGTTGTACAAGCAGAAGAGCGTCCTGATCATGGGCAGAGGCTACCATTACGCAACGTGCCTGGAAGGAGCGCTGGTGAGCAAATAGTCTCGTTTTTTATCAACTTTATCGGATAGTAATAATGTTTATATTTTTATGTGTGTATTTTTATAAGCATTTAGATCAGGGGTTCTCAAACTTTTGGGGTTTTCAGGGAGAAAACGTTTCAGGGACCCCCCTCATAACCCTCATGTTTATTAAATCATTTTCTTCAATTTGTCTCTTTAATGCAATGGAAATATTGGTGTAACATAAATACTTAAGACCCGTTCTTTAATAGTGTTAATATATTTTTTATACTTTTCAACATGGGGTATTTTTCATTCAAGACACACTTAACAGTTTTTAATTTCAACTTCCAAAAATTATAGTTTTAAAAAAAATTAATAGTTTCAAAAAACACTTTAAAACTTTCCCAATTCACTTAATGAACATAATAAATGCACTGCCACTTCTTCAAATTATTACATAAAACTGAACAGAATCCTATCAGCAGTCATACCAAGCAGCAGGGCTTCATTTGTAAACTGATCAATGCCCGAACACAAGTAGTGGGGGGGGGGGGGGGTCTGGGGGTCCTCCCCCAGAAATTTTTGAATAAAGTAGATGTGATTTCCTGCATTTTGGTGTATTTTAACAGGTTATTACACATCTACGTGATTGTAAAAAATAAATAAATTTTGTATTTATTTATTTTTTGGGGCGGACCCCCAAGCACCGGCTTGCCGACACCCAGAACCCCAGTTTGAGGACCACTGGTTTAGATAACACACACACACACACACACACACAAAAAAAAAAAAAAAAATAGGGCAATCGGACCATTTAAAAGAATGTAGGGTTTTAATTTAGTATTTTTTATTTTTTAGTTGAGCTGGATAGCTGTACGTCAAACATCAAACTAAAATAAACACACATTTGAAAAGTTTTAAACTGATTTTGTGTGTGTGTGTGTGTGTGTATCTTGTTTTTTCTTCTGCAGAAAATCAAAGAAATCACTTACATGCACTCAGAGGGCATCCTGGCGGGAGAGCTGAAGCACGGCCCCCTGGCCCTGGTGGATAAACTCATGCCGGTTATCATGATCATCATGAGGGATCACACCTACATCAAATGTCAAAACGCCCTGCAGCAAGTCGCCGCCCGCCAGGTGAGCTAACAGTCAAATGTTTCAAATAAGAGACTCTCACACGTTAAGAAGTCGTCTGCTAAAATACAAATGTGGGTTTTAAGGAAGCGTGACATGAATTAATATGAATGTTACCAAAAGCTTTTTTTGTCTCATTCAGAATTTAAAGTTAAAACCTACAGTTCAGTTAAATGTTCATTTGAAAACTCTTTGACCTTTTCAATGACCAATTCATTTTTCTATCTCTGATACACATTTGGTCCCTCTTCTCAGTTGAAACAAGGGATTTTTGGCAAATTGGTTCAGCATGACCTCAGTGCGTTCAGTAATCTGTAGCACATGGGGATTTAAGAGAAATGAAAACAACTTAATGGGGAGAAGGGAGAGAACCTGATTTTTGGGCATTCTGTGAGTAATTTTTAGGCAAAGTTTAAAGCTTGTTTGATTTGCAGGGCCGTCCCATCGTGATTTGTGATAAAGATGACCATGAAACCATAAAAAACTCTTGCCGCACCATCAAAGTGCCTCACTGCGTGGACTGCCTGCAGGGCATCCTGAGCGTCATCCCCCTGCAGCTGCTGTCCTTCCACCTGGCCGTCCTCAGAGGTTACGACGTAAGTCCCGTCCCTTCAGGCTCTGTGACCTAAATTATCTTCTTCACATGTCTGGGAGCTGCGCACATCTCATCCACTTTAAGCCTTTTTCATGTGAAGGCGATAACTTCAGCGTGCAAGGATTTACACATACTGATTCAATTTTCAAAAGGCAAGTTGATTCATTTAAAGGGAGTTTTGACCTTTAGGGATAAACTGTTATTGGAGTTCTGCAACACATTACTGAAGAGATTTCTCTGGAATCCTGCTTTTCTTCCTGTCCTGTTTTGTAAGCAAATACTGAAGAACTGCCGGAAATAAGCCGTGTTTATCAAGATAAAAGTTTAAAAACCCCTTCTATCCATGTATTTTATTACTTTATATTGCGACTTTTTGGATGGTAAAATGAGCCGCCACATTCGGGGAAATATTTGTTTCCTGATTATCTCATTCGCATCGATCATAAGTTGCACAATAACAGAATGTTCAATGTCAGAGTAAACAACTCGAGTATATAAATAAGTGATGTTGATTCTTCTTTTAAAGTCTGGTGGAAGTAAACATCTGTTAGGACAAATCTGCGTGCGTGCCTCCCCTCCTTATTGTCCAGGAGAAGCCCGAGTGATTACAAACTCTGTGGAAATTCTGAACACAGTCCTGACGAGCAGCCGTATCGCTGGCACGCACATGAAAATGTGTTTTTGTGGAGATTTAGCTAAATCGTGTTTGATGGTTTGCAGCATTTAGTCAGCAGCAGCAGACATATCTAACTTGCTGTCCTTGTTACACTGTTGCTGTGTTGCAAATGGTGACTGAGCTCTTCTGTGTACATTTAGGTGGACTGTCCAAGAAACCTGGCCAAGTCAGTGACTGTAGAGTAAACGGTTCCACTCATCACCCGACGGACGCCGCTCAGACCCCGAACATCAAGGGAGCGTCTGTTTGAAGAAGTCACGTCCTGTTTGGATGTCCTGTATTCCTTTTAATGCAATCTTTTAGATTGATTTATGTCAATGTTGTGTATTATATTATATCTTTTTTTTCTTTTTTTTAGAAACCGCTGACATTGTTGTGTTACTGTTAGTGAAGTTTTCTTTGTGGTGGCAGTGTCTGGGCTCACGTGATCACATTTTATTTTAGGTTTGCAAACCTGCATCAATTGACACTTAATGAGGTTATTTACATTCTTACTCAAAACTTGTGAGCAAGTCCTCCATGACTGTTGCTGGTTGGTCTCTGAGGAGAGCTAAGTTTAGAGCTGTTTTAGACTGAAGCCTTCGGAGCTTATTTTCTTTCTTAGTGCAATGATTTGTAGTTTTAGTTGAGATATTCATTCTTTGGCAGCTAATGATTTCGTGTTTTACTTCACAGTTGAAGTAAGCCACAGTCTTAAATCATTCCAAGCCGCAGGTCATCACTTCTTTAAATATGCAGAAGAAATGCAGCTTTATGGGGGAGTAGCATCTTAGCTTAAATCATAGAAAAATAAATGCTTGAACTTCTGTTGTTGCATGCTTTGTGTGCAATCACATTTTGACTTTTGTTGCCTTACATACATACATACCTTTTTTTTTTTTTTATCTATATTTAAACAAATTATTTCAAGTGAGGAAAAAAGTTACTACCGGTAATCTGAAGTTGAAGTTGCACTTAGTACCCAGCCCTCACTCTGCCACTGCAATACTGGGACCATTTATAACTTAATCTTATAAATGCTTTTTATATTAGTTACTTATTCTTTAATAAAAGTGAATGTTACTGTCGTTTTAAAATGTCAAACCAAAAATCGCTACAACGGCTTTGACAACTGTAAACCAAAACCTAGTCTGTTCATTCATCGTTTGTGTTGTAGCCAAACTACTGATCGTGCTCGATGAACACAAGAAGGTTCTTCTGAAGCCCAGACGGGGCGCAGACCGTTACGTAGCGCTCGGGTCATGCTGATGTGTTTACCGAAGCAGAAAGCGAGTCGCCATCTGTGTGCGTCAATGATGCCTGACGACTTTTCTTTAAAAGCCAAGGAAAATAAAGATGTGCACACGGTGCAGTAGAGCTGCTGCTTCTTTAGAGCAGATCTTCATGGCATGGTTTAGGGTCATTCTTACTGTTGCAATCAAGCCTTAACTTGGGTTTTAATGTTGTTTTTGCATTGAGACAAAAATGTGAATGGGATCGAAACAATGTTACAGGTACTTCATGTGTTTTTCTTTGTAACAGAATAAAATTATTATACACGGAGTCATGTTTTAAGCACCATTAGTTGTAGAATAAGAGTCACTGAGACGCTTGCCAGTAGAAATTATGCAATAAAATGTTGCATTCTTTGCTTTTAAAATCGTCTTGTCATTTAAAGACACAAATCTTTTTTTGTAAGAACACTGTCAAAATTTCATATTTATTAAGATTATAAAAACTAAAAAACACAACTTTTTGTGGAGTTGAGGCACAGAGTTCATAGAAGCTGTTTAAAAGGGCCACATGTTGACAGCAACACAAAGCTCCAGGAGTAATGTCACCACCGGTCGGATGCATGTCCAGATGGTTGTAACGATGGAGACGGTGAGCCTGAAGTTCCTGCACAGAGCTGGTGGGACTGAGCGTGCCATGTAGACGACGCTCACACAAACTGAATGTTGGCAGAGCACTGGCAGAACTCGCAGCTTCTGCTGGGTCGACTCGAACCTCTGCACCGCTCTCCTTCGTCCACGACAAAACTCGAAGCAGCTGTTCTTCCTGATGGTCTGTGATGGGAGCCAGGTGGAGCAGCTGGTGCACCCACACCAGTCCAAGTCCTTTTTTGAGAGGAGCACGCTTGTCAGCATCAGCCTGAGAAACGAGTTCAGCTTCAGCATGACTGCAAGGTGACGAGAGACGCAGTCGGTGACGACGAGGGCAGTTTTCAGAAGGATTTCGTTGCAGGTACTCAACACAACAAAGGCTTCACATGCAGCCATAGAGCAGGTGTAAACAACAGCCATCACTCTGAACAAGAACTCTCTCCATTCCCCAAACTTCAGGAAGGCTGCGGGGAGCTTTTCATGTAAAAACATGAAGTGAAGCATAGCAGGTAACGTCCTCTGAGTGGCAGCCTGTGCAGAGCAAAGCAGCACAGCAGCTTTAATCAAGCTGAGCAACTGGAAACAGCTGGTGCTGCTTCTCTGAGCTTAATGAGGAATGTGCTTTCCCAAGGAAAGTGGAGGTTATTAAAAAAAAAAAAACACTTTCTGTCAAAATCAAGTCAACTATAGATCGTTATGCATCTGAATATGTTAAAAATGAGAAAAGTGTCACAAAAAGGTAAACAAATATTGAAGGATCTTCTGTTTTAAGGAAACATTTCCAGTTGACAAGTTGGATCTCAAGGCATATGGAACAAAAAACAGCAAACTTTCTCCTAAATTTACTGCAGACAAATCTGCTGAATAATTTGAATTATTTAACACATTTGTGCAAATTTTAATTTATATTAGAGCACAACTCGCACATAAACTTGACTGTAGTTTACCAGCTGGGAAAAATATATATTTTTTTTAAATCTACATTTGCAATAAATTTTGGCACTTGCGCTGTCATGTAGGAACAAAAAATGTTAAGAGTCTGAGTTAGCTGCTATAACAAGGACAGTAATCTGTCCTCAAACATTAAATCCAAATGCAAAAGACTAAATCTGTGCAGCTTTAACCAAAAAAGTCCATGCTCAATAATCCAGGTAAACAATCCAACAATTTTCAGTCAGGTCATCTGGACAGTTTTGTGCAGCTTTAACTTTATATTCCACTCTTTGTCTCCTCGTCTGTCCTTAACTTGAATCCTAAACAATCTGCACCAGCATGTCTACATTTCCTAACGATTAGGTGGTGCCTAATATTTTCCAAGATGGATTATTTCATTCTGGGATGTGATGATGATGCAACAAATCGACATCTGGAGTTCGTTAGCTGTGGCCTGCATAGGTTTACTTTTTTGGGGTTTGTTTCATAGCAGGGAAAAATGTAGGTCCTTTGTGGCAAACATCTTTCTACTGCATGATCTCTGTATGATATTAGTCCTCTCTAACTGCTGTTATAAAATAAAGTGGCGCTTGTGTGCACATTGAATAAGCAGGATTCACATTAGGACCATTAGCTGGAAGTTGTAGAGTATTTAGTATTTTTTATACATATTTTTTTTTAGTATTTAGGATCTTGTTAGATCCTAATATTTAAAAAGTAAAGTATGTAGGTGAATTTGAGAAAAAAAGAGGATATTTATTGACTCAAAGATCAAACATAAAGTCTACAAGGTTCTGCTGTGATTTAAAACTGTTTGTGTGTTTATGCTTAAAGTCATTTAATAATTTTAGGAGAAACAATATTTCTGATGTATGAATTTAATCAGGTGAGGCACGGTGGCTCAGCTGGTAGAGCTGTTGCCTCTCAGTGAGAAGGTTGCTGGATCAAATCCCACCCAGAGGCCATTCTGGGTGGAGTTTGTATGTTCTCTCCGTGCATGCGTGTGTTTTCTCCGGGTACTCCAGTTTATCTCCCACAGACCAAAAACATGCATGTTAGGCTGATTGGTGACTCTAATTGTCCCTGAGTGAGAGAGTGAATGGTTGTTTGTTTCTGTGATGGACTTGAACCTGTCCAGGGTGTCCCCTGCCTCTCACACAGTGATGGCTGGACATGGGCACCAGTGGAACCCCATGACCCTAAAAGTAAGAAGCGGGTAAAGAAAATGAATGAATGGATGAATTGATTGATCGATTGATTTCATCAGCCAGCTGTTTATGTTGCTGAGCACCTAGAACTGATTCATCAAGTAGACAGAGATGTAGAAAAACTGGACAGATGAAAAATTTCATGTTGGTTTTTTTCATCTTGAACTTGAAGACTTCTTCCCTTTCTTACAACGACAATAGTTGTGACCTTAAGCACCAGACCACCCAGCACCAGACTCACCTCACCACCGGATGAAGAGCTTCTCAACGTGACCTCAGCAGAAGTGAGGAATAGTTTCAGGAGGATTAACCCTCACAGGGTAACCGGCCCAGACAACATCCCTGACAAGGTGTTGAAAGAATCGGAGTCAGAGAGAGTCAGAGTCAGCGAGATTTATTTGTTATTCACACCTCATGTGGTACATGTGGTGGAACGAGATTATGTACGCAGGGTCCCAGTTACATCCCACAATTAAATGTAAAAGAAAAACAGTAATAAGATCTAAGATATGAACTAAGAAAAACATTAATTAAAAATACACTAAGCACTAATAGCATAAAAACATTACATCAAACAGCAGCACAAACATGAGTCTGTGTGAGCAGATGAGCACACATTAACACATCACCATGGAACAGATCAGCAGCAACATGAAACAGATCAGCAGCAACATGATATGGTTTTTCACAGTGATTATCCTGGTTAGAGATTCATGAGTCTAACAGCCTCAGGGTGGAAGCTGTTCTTCAGTCTAGTGGTTCTACACTTAATGCTCCTTAACCTCCTGCCTGAGGGGAGCGAGGCAAAAAGTGTGTATGCTGGGTGAGTGGGGTCCTTCATGATGCAGGTGACCCTCTTCCTGCATCTGGAGGTGTAGATGTCTGTGATGGTGGGGAGACTGACTCCAACAGTCTTCTGTGCAGCCTTCACCACTCTCTGCAAAGCTTTTCTTTCTGCAGCTGTGCAGCCTCCATGCCACACATTGATGCTCGAGCACAGGATGCTCTCCACTGCACACCTGTAGAAGGAGGTGAGGACTGAGCTTCCCAGACCAGCTCGTCTCAGCCACCTGAGGAAGTAGAGTCTCTGATGAGCTTTCTTGATCAGGCTGGTGGTGTTGTTGCCCCAATGTGCTGATCAGCTCTGCGAGGTGCTGGCCAACATCTTTAACTCCTCTCTTATACCTTGGCAACAGTTCTTGCCTGCCTGAAGACCTCCACCATCATCCCAGTCCCAAAGGGCTGTACAGTGACTGGTCTCCATGACTATTGGCCAGTGGCCCTCACCCCGATAGTCGCTACATGCTTCGAAAAACTGGTCATGACTCACATGAGAACAACCATCAACATCAACGAGGACCCTCATCAGTATGCATACCGTGAGAAATGATCAACAGAGGATGCCATCTCCTCTGTGGTCCACACTGCGCTCAACCACCTGGAGAAGGACTCCTACATCCGTATGCTCTTTGTGGACTTCACATCTGCCTTCAACACCATGATCCACCAAACTTTGATGGACAAACTATTCACACTAGAACTAAGCCCCTCCATTTGCAACTGGGTACAGTACTAGACTTCTTAACCAACAGACCACAGCTAGTGAGGATCCACAACTTCTCCTCCTCCACCATAACCCTCAGCACTGGCTCTCCTCAGGGCTGTGTGTTGAGCCCCCTCCTGTTTACTCTGCTCACGTATGATTGTGCACCTACCCATCCAGGCTGTCAAACTGTAAAGTTTGCAAAGATACAGCGGTGGTGGGATGCATCACAAACAATGATGAGTTCAGCTACAGGCAGGAGGTGGAAAACTTGGAGAGCTGGTGCAAGAAGAACAACCTTCACATCAATGTGAAGAAGACGAAGGAGATAGTCATGGACTTCAGACAGAACAAACACACTTACCTTCTACACCCCACTGAACATAGGAGGATCTGCAGTGGAAGTGGTCTCCAGCTACAAGTACTTGGGTGTGCACCTGAATACCCTGAAGCTGTTAAGACTCATAAATCCCAAATCAGAATAATCACTATAATGCCACTTTAATTGGTGATATGTGACTAATCTGTGCTGCTGATTATCTATGCTGCTGAGCTCATGCTGCTGATTATTTCATGCTGTTGATCTCATACTGCTGTATTCATTCGTATCCACCTGCTCACTCACCACAGACTCATGTTCAGGCTGTTGTTGTTATGCCATATTGTTTTGCATTACTGTATTAGTATTTAGCGTGTATCTTAGATCTTTATACTTTCTTCTTTACTCTTTGTATTTTTGCTATTGTTGGGTGTAGCTGGGACCCTGTGTGCATAATTTCGTTGCACTTCATATACCACATGTGATGAGAATTACAATAAATATACTTCACTTGACTTGAGATAAAAAAGTGTTGTTAGAAGAACCAGACTCTGATTTGGTTTCTGAAACACTGATTTGTTTTTTAGATAAATTAAAGCCATGCGTTGGACAGAAACATGTTTACAGCTTGTGTTTTTTCTGACTACAGCTGTGAGTACCATCAGTTTTATGAGTTTAGTTTTGACAATAGGACAAGAAAGGCCTGGCAAGTTTTAACTTTAGAGTTTACTCCGATGAGCACAACAAATCTGTTTACATCAAATATTTTTACATGATTTGTAGTTTCTTTTAATAAAAAATGCTATGTCTGTGTTTCAGCCATTAATGATTGTCCCTCCTCTAACTTTAAAATCCAGTTTTAATCAGATTTACAAAAAAAAAACTTTGACACTGTGAGTGCAACTAAAAGCCTGCAGTGGTGTTCAAGTCCTTTTAAACTTCATGTTCGACTGAAAACGCTGCATTGTTTTCATTTTTTCATTCAAGTTTTTTTTACGAGAGCTTAGTTTTGCCACTTCTGAATTTTACACGAGCAGCAAAACATTTAAAAAAATGACAAAATATGGTAAAGCCTGAGAAAAAATCAATAAAAGAAACGGATAAATGTAAAGAACTGGCTTAACATAACAAATCAAGTGCCTGAGGAAGTTTATTAAAAAAAAAAAAAATCCCAAAAAAATCTCAAGAGAGACTGTGCAGACAATAATTTAACCATACATTACATTTCTTTATGTAAAAATTGGAAAGAGTTTGTGGGTTTTACACATTTGAAGATTCAAAGAACCTGCCTAAATCTCTGTACATGGAGGACAAGGCTGAAAAGCAGCAAACAGGTGAGATACGCTGGTGAAGATGTTCAGTCCTCCAGGACATCATGGTCAATTCATAAAAGTTCAAGACAAAAACAAGTGGACTTTATTTGTAACAGGTGAGACGTTTGATGTTCTCTGGACACATCCGCTCACATGGAACTCATCACATGAAGTCAGAACGTCTCCTGAAAGGAGCACAAACAAATAAAACCTGACAAACACATGTTTGTACCTAACTGGTGCATCTTTTGCCTCGAGAGCCCGTTAAGAGGCAGCTCCTGAGATGAATGGTCACAGTTTGTGAACGAGGCTCTGATCCTGAATAAAGTCCAGTTTTTGTGAAGTTTTTGGCACTTTCCTCTTCATGACTCATTTTGACGAGACAATGCTAAAGCATTTGTTGCACATGTTCCATCAGTGTGGCTCCATCACTTGCTGAACTGTCCTGCCTGCAGTACAGAGCGGTCACACACTGAACACGTCCGACACATTTTGAATAAACACGCACACAAAAGAAGAAGATTAGGCTCTGAGCTGTTGAGCAGCTGAAATCATGAACCCATCGAGAACAGGGAACTGTTCTGTTCTTGTTGAAGGAACTTATTTTAGAGTCATTTCATACAATAAGTCTATTTCATGGTATTTAGGTTGTTTTTAAACTCCTTTCAGTTTAATACAGGTTTCAACATATAATTGCAAAGCATTCTGTTTCATTTTAATTTATTTTTAGCAATGGCTTTCATATATAAAAAAAGACCAACCAAACAGTAAACGTAGAATTTAAAAACAGTCCATTACCATTATATAAATCAAACGACGTACAAGTTCAAACCGTACTTTCCGTTGCTTCAGACTGAACATCTCTAACAGAAGGATTGTCTGGCTTCTGAAAACCTGCTGTCAGTGACACACGTCTCAACACAAGTCTTTTTGTGTTCCTCAGAAATCTTCCAACGGTCACGCCTGTATTTCAGTGTCACGACCACCGAACACAGCTTCGCTCCTTCGTGCCGAGGCCGTCGTACAAGCTGTTGTTTCTCTCAGTTGATCCAAACGTGTGTTCGTGGAGGGGGTCGCAGGAGTCTGCTCAAACCTCTGAGGACCACCGACACAAATATTTTGGAGCCCGTCTGCATGAGCTCACTCCTGCGGGTTGTCTGCAGAGGGAGATTCAAGCATCTGAGCAATTGCACTTTTGGACTAGATGTGTACAAAAGTGTGTAGACAAATAGCTGGCTGGGGGGGCCGCAGCCCTTCTCAAAGCAGAACGTGTCTGTGCTTCCATATGCAACCAGCGTTAGCTGTGAGCTTCATCCGTTCAGTGTGACGCTCCCGTCGCCTACAGACTGGGGCGAGGAGGTGGGCGGGCGGGTGGAGGAGCTCGCCCAGGAGGAGGTCCCTGTGGAGGAGGAGGCAGCAGTCCAGCTGGGGCGACGCAGGGTGGAGGGGTGGGTGGGAGCTCGGGCGGGGCAAGTATGTTCATGGTGGTCGGAGGAAGAGCCCGGGTGGGAGATGGGCTGTAGGGGGGAGGAGTGAGGGGAGGCGAAGGTGTCGAGGGCGACGATGGAAGCGAGGAGAAGGAAAATGACAGAGGGCTGCTGGGAGTGGGGGGCAGGGTGCCCTGTGGGGCAGGAGGGTTTCTGCTGGGAGCGCTGCAGATGCCTGATGGGCCATGGTTGAAATGTGGATATTGAGAAGGAGGGGGGGACTTTATGCGGGTGAAGTTCATGCACCTGCCCTGAAAATTAAAACACAGCACAGAGTTGCTTTTTTTAGTTTTGCTGTTGCTCTAAAATATTCACTTAAAAAAAACTATTAGGAATAAAAGGCATGCATAGTCATGTTACTGTGCAGAAATGCTAATGTTGTTATCATCCATCCATCCATTATCTTTACCCGCTTATTCCATTTTGGGTCACGGGGGTCGCTGGTGCCCATGTCCAGCAATCACTGTGTGAGGGGCGGGGTACACCCTGGACGGCTCGCAAGTCCATCACAGGGCCACATAGAGATAAACGAGACAAACAACCATTCTCTCTCTCACTCACACCTAGGGACAATTTAGAGTTACCAATCAGCCTAACATGCATGTTTTTGGACTGTGGGAGGAAACCGGAGTACCCGGAGAAAACCCACGCATGCACGGAGAGAACATGCAA